TGATTCTATCAAACAACTAGCAACCTGTCCTGCCTTTAGTCACGTAAACTCGATTATTTTGTTAATAACACTAGACTCTGGAAGATGTTTCCTATGAATAAACTATTATAGATATTCACATAAATGCAAAATAATTCTTCTATACAATAAATAAAAGCATTGAATTTGTATTATAAGAGTTCAAAAAGGAAGATTATTATCATTTGTATATTATCTAAGTAAGTTATGTTTTAAATAAAACTATTTTTCGGTTTTTGTCTCGGATTTATTTTGATTTTTAGGTTCCCGACATTTAGAATGCTTTATTTTTTTAATGTTATAATATATGATTTACGCGAAAAATCTAAGATAATATTAGTAATATTGTTGTGAGTAGAAACTAGAATATGCCACACGCACTTTAGTCTAAACATATAAAAAAATTGTAAATCAAATCTATACATTTTATATATTTTTTGTAAAATCTAATTGAAATAAATATTATCGATGCAGAGGTCGAAAGAGTTTTCTTTTTTGTTAGTCTGTCTGTCTGACTTGGAATGCATCACGATAAAACCACTTGACAGATTTTGATGAAATTTCGTATAAAGATAGCTAGTTATCCGAGTCAATATATAAAATGCTTTTTACGTCGGTAAAATATCTCATCTCTGAGCTAAACGGTAAAACTTAAGTAGGGACGAACCTGAGCGGAGCGAGGGTGAGTCGCTAGTTAATAATATTTGCATAATATTTAAGTGAGACCATTAATTGACTGTCATAACAATAAGCTAAGAATATAACTCGACCGAACTTTACATAGATATAATATATAAAAAATATTATCTCGGCTTTTATAGCTTTTTCAATGTCACTCTAATACAAAGACATTTGATCTCTTTATTACTTCTCTTTATTTTATAATCATTTTAAAGTAAAGACTCTCAAAATTACAAAATGTACTAAGCTCTACTAATATTCTCAAAATTATTAAACATTCTGTGTAAGAATTAGTAAGTACTTAACTATATGCAGAGTTTCAAAGACTCTACATTACATGAATTGCAAGTTTCACATTGCAGTAGCCATTATTAAAAGCCGTATGCAGTGTTACGCTACAGAATCGTAGACGTGCTACGGGCTGCTACGACCTACGACAAAGTTTTGTTGTACAAATGTAGAGCCTCATAGTGAGAGTTGGAGGTTAGAATAATATGTTTATCTTATGTTCATCAAAGGTTAGTAAATGTGTATTTAAAATGTATACCATGGAAGTTGAACAGATTATTCTGTTGTGTGTAAGTGCAGTAATTATTTTTGAGCCTATGAAATTTTCAGTAACTTTAGGTTTTTTTTCAGGCTATTTACATAATAACGTTCAAATCTATAGAATACCTTTAAACGCGAATACGCAGCAGCCAAAGCAACAGTTTTTTACGATTTTTATTTGGTTTGTGTAGTTGTTAAATATACAAGGATTAAACTCTTATTTATAAATATCTTTTGAAGAATGATACTGAATAAATTTAAACTAAGATTTAGATATTTTATGATAGTGTTCAAATTACAAAGTTATAGTTTTAGAACAAAAATTGAGTGTATCTGAAAAATAGGTACATTTTATAAAATATTGCCTAATATTAACTATTATTACTAATAAATCTCTAGAAATCACAGCTCAATAAATTAAGACCAAAAAACTACATAAATAATAGTAATTTTGGTAAAAAATGGTAAAAACGTATCCTCTATCTAATCATGGCGTTTTGATAACAACGCCTGTAAATAAGTAATAGCAATCACACGTAATAGACACGCCATTTGAGTCTCATTCCACATTCTATTAGTTTAACAACATACCGTTTTATTTTTTCGATTAATTCAGCTCTTAAGTCTACGATATAAGGTTTATTTTTATTTAAATAAGCAGTACGATGGCTGTTTAGACAGCATGACATTTATAGATAGGGTTGTCGGATTTTCATTATTTTTCCAAGAAAATATTTTAGTATTCCTTTCTTTCATCTTTCTATTAGGTCGTATGTATGCATAGTTGATTTAAGTGAATTTTCAATGTCACTATAATAATTTTCCTTTGTAACAGGATAGAATTAAAAATGATATTATCGTTACGCTTTTTAATGATCTTAATTTACCAACCAATCTCATTCGTGCCTTCTCCATTCTACATCATTTTCGAACTTTATCAAAATCTTTTTAGCTGCTTTAGCGTGAAGGAGTAACAAACATACACACTCACGCAAATTTTCGTATTTATATTCAAATAGTAGTCGATTAACTAACAAACAACTTTACAAATTTTCATATTTAAAATGTTATATTTATATAAAATAAGAATTATAGTGAAGCCACACTTAAAGATGCTTATATCTATATAGTCCCAACTAAGCTCAAACTCTTACAACTAACTTGAATACACCTCACAGTATACTCTCTTATCCCACAAGATTTAAGCACTAAATAATATATTTTTTTAGATATTTTGAAAATAGTCCAGTCTATTCTAAAACTTATTTGGTACAACCCTAAATAACGGCTGTATTATGTAAATTATTCACAGCATTAACTGCTTTATTGTTTACATAATACTGATGGTATTTGCGTAAATATTTGACAGATATATTAGTATATTATATTATACGTTAGTGAATGCGTATGATTTTACCGTTTGTTTGGTAAAGGAGATCGATGAAACTAATTATAATCCTATTATGTTAAGTAGACTAGGCTGTGAATATAAAATGGCTGGATTATAAATAAGTTACCTGACACTAAATACCCAATTGTGGTGTTCTATTCAAAATGCATATCGGTATCGCTTTATTTACGATTTAATAGGAAAATAAAGGATACGATACATTAGAGAGAACAATATAAAATTGTCATGTTTTTGTACTGTATCATTATATATAAATATTCACCTTACGCAAGTATCAATCTGACTAATTTTGGTGAAATTTAGTGTGAAAGTACTAAAAACCCAGTTTTTTTATTTCAATAAGTTAAGAATAAGTAAAAAAAAATTAATTTTAAATAAAATTACTTGTGGGTAAGTAATAATAAAGTAACATAAAGAGTTCAATTAAAAAAAATACGCGAGAAAACCGCTTCCGGTCACCAATAAAGAGGCTTTTATAATAAAACAAAGCGATTTTTTACTCAATTTTCACAACAAAATTTAAAAATTATATACAATAATTCATGTCCTTTATCATAAGAATACCAAAAATACTGTTACGTTAAAACATTCATAAGTGTACGTGACGTAAAATGTCACGTCGAAAATTTACGGTCATGTTCTTCCCTTGCACGCACCTATTTTTCTGAATAGGTAGAAAACAAGGTTCGTAGATAATTTTAGACTACGGCCTAGTACTTTGTGGGCATAAAACTAGGAATCGGCGGTTCAAATTAAGTTAAAGATTTTTTTAATACAACATGTTTGGCTCAGTTTGTAGTGACCTTACTTGCTGTGCCAACAGTCGCGGGTTCGAGTCCCGCTGGGGGCATTCACTTGTGTGATGAGCGCGAATGTTTGTACTCCAGTCATGGGTGTTTATATTTATAAAATGTACGTATTTAAAGTTATATATGTGTAGTGTATCAACTATCTGGTATCCATAACACAAGCCTCGTATCCTACCATGGAACTAGATGGTGCTGTGTGTTAATGTTCCAACATATTTATTTATTTTTATATATCAATAATTTATATTTAATATATAATTTTACTTAATAAAGAGTACTTATAATTATTAATATAACTAGCGGACTCACCCTCGCTACACTCGTGTTCCTCCCTAGGTTCGAATTAACGGTTAGTATGGAATAGATAGACTCTATATTATATATACACATAGGTATGATGAGCTATTGTGGGTTGTATTATAACGTGTCCCGTAAGAATGACATAATCTCCCGCAATTAAACATAGCCTATGTCACTTTCCAGCCCTCCAACTATCACCACACAAAATCACGCTAATCCGTCACTCTGTTTCGACGTGAAAAAAGGACAAACAAACAAATAAACAAACATATTTTCATATTTTATAATATTAGTATGGATAGATATTATATAATACGTTATACTAAACTGTAAATACTAGGAAATAATACAGATAATTTTAGAAGATTATTCTGCAAATTATTTTGTTAAGTTACACATCTTAGAGATATTTTGATAAGTAAAGCTACAATAAAAGCTAGTATTACACAGCTTCACTTATATAAGGGCATTTTGTTCCAGCGAGGGCGCACTGCCGGTAAATTTGTAAAGGATTTTATCAGATTATGTTATTCAAGGTTTGGTAATTTTTAAGCTTCACTAAGTTTAAGTTAAAATTGAAGATAATGGTGATGAGAAAGCTTTTTGCGTACGGTTTTTTATTTTACATTTTTCATAAAATTTATATTCAAATGTTAAGATTTTTTTATTATATAGTAACTGAAATATCTGCTACTATACATATATAATATACTAGCAGCTAATCCTCACTTCGCTCGAGTTCGCTTCTAAAAAACTTAAACAAATCTATCCGGAACCGTAGATTTTTCCAGGATAAAAAGTAGCCTATATACTATATCAGACTAAAATTTATCTGCCAAATTTTATCCAAATCCGTTCAGCCGTTCTGGCGTGAAAGAGTAACAAACATCCTCACAAACTTATACATTTATAATATTAGTATGGATGTATGTTTTAGAAATAGAACATTTTCATATTTAATTTACTTGTTCTATATTATATTGACTTATTTAGAATTTAAAAAAAAAATATGTTCAGTACCATTAACCCCAATTTTTTTTAGTATTGGTAAAAATATTTTATCGTTTAAAAAATGACTTAATCTCTAATAATGTCTATAAATAGTAAAACCGAGTAAAGTATGTTTTAATTCTTAGACCATTAATATATATTTGATAAATTAAATCCCATGGGATTGACCGTCCCGAGAAGGACAAAAGTATTCCTTAAAATCTTATAATGTATAGCTTTACCTGTCCAACATATCCCCTTCAGGTCGGTTGATGGCTGCATCTTTAGAAGCAGAATACACATACACTCGTGTATCGCCTTTATACCATTTGATACTGTGCATTTCTCCACAAGACTTTCCATCTATTCTGCATCTGAGGCGAGCGGTGTTGCCTACGAGAGCCGATGCGTGATCTGTAAATGAAATTGGAAATATTAGTTAATCTATGGGAAAAAATGAAAATTTTAATGACGACACGTTTGGCTCAGTTTGTAGTACCCTACTTGCTGTGCCAGCAGTCGCAGGATCGAGTTCCGCTGGGGGAATTCATTTGTGTGATGAGCACGAATTTTTGTACTCCAGTGCTGTGTGTTAATGTCCCAACACCTCTTTAATTTAGTAGATATATGAATCTATAACCTGGAGTGACAAATAAGTTACAAGGGACTATATGCATCTAGAGTCATACCCGAGCGAAGAACAATTCTGTACATATAAATATATCATATTTAATATTGAAATACGATGATCCGTAAGTTAAAGTATGTGTTTATGGATATTTTTTACTTCACACTGTAATAGCACAAAGGATTTGTACGAAATTTAGAATGGATGTAGTAGCTTATAACATAGTATAAATATGTAAAGATATTTATACTATATATGTTAGGTCCATCGGCCTATATGTATGTAAAGATGGACCTAACATATAGGCCGTTTTTTAAAGATACATACACACCTTGTAAGTATGTAAATATTAATATATAATAAAATAGTAATTACATCAAAATATATGTTTTTTTTTTAATTTAAATTTTTATTTATCTTATCTATGTATATAAATAGTATATTTTATACAAATGTATACGAATATAAAATGCATTAAAGCAATTTCCAATATAGTCCTAAATACCTTGTTCAGTAAATAAAATCCACAACCAGATAATATCGGAAATACATTAAAAACTTTCAAAACGGACCAGAAAAAAGAATTCTATTTTCCAGATTCAACAAGAAAATTCGCTAGCGTTGGAATTACGATTTTTCTTGAAATAAAATCACTGCGCTTACTTCGTATTGATGGTGTAAGGCATGAGAGATACTAAATGGAGAAAATCTATATAATAAATAGGTAAAGACAAAACAGTTCAGTACCTTTTTCTCCCCTGTTTGTGAACAGATTTTCTTTTTTTTTTGTTTAGTGGCTTTAATAGTAGTGAAATTTGGAAAAAGTTTTTTTAAAGATAGGTAAATTCTACTCATATATGTTTTTCTCCAATTTTCTAAATGGAGTTCCTTAAACCTTCGTTTTTGAAGTGTGTCTATAATAAGAATAACTGATCAAAATAATAAACAATCTAATATATAAATATCTCGTGTCGCGGTGTTCCTGGTCGCGTTCCTTTGAAACCTCTCCTCCCCCCACCCCACATTTTTAATCGCGATTTAAGTATTTTTTGTATGAACAGTATCCATATAATTTATTATTATATAAATACGTAGGGACGAACCCGAGCGAAGCGAGGGTGAGTCGCTATATAACATAAATCAAAAGAGTTTTTTTGTAGATTGAACACGGACGAAGCCATGGGGTCTGCTAATAATATATAATATATACGTATGTATGTATGTTTGTATGTACATATGTCTAAAATATTTTCAGAACAGCATCCATATATTATTCTTTTACTACTTATCCGCTGTGATCTCGTATCCTATAGCGCAACATTGTTTGTCCCTGCAAGTGACACGTGTGACGGCGATATTAGGATTATCCAACTAATAGCGAAACCACAGCCGTAAATCGAAATACCTTCGATTTATTTGCAATTGGATTAAAAGCTTATTATATCAGTTACTGAAAATGTGACAGTAGATTTATAATTTTAAACTAGGCTCTGTTTTAAAAAGGCACTTAGTTTTTGTATTCTTCGTAAAGTTTAAAATACAAAATAATAATAGTAATTAGGCCCTTTTCAGCGTCCCACTGCTGGGCACGGGCTTTCTTTTAATGCCATGGAGATCATGGGAATAGTCCACCACGCTGGCTATGTTCGGGTTGGTGGGCTTCTCATATATTTCGAAAACAGACATTTTTTCACACGCTATTTTCTTTTATCGTAGAGTGTAAGGAAGTCAGGTTGAAAATAATTCACACTTAACAATATTGGACATACGAAACATGGGTTCAAACTCACTACATTTAGTTTCCTAAGCAAGCGCTTTACCACTGGTCTATCAATGCCTTTTGCAACCTCTTTAAATAACTTGACATAATAAAGAAAACGTAGTCCTACGCAAAACTGTCTCTATGCAAAAATAATATATTCTTTTCAATAATTTGACCCAAGACTGGCATAATGGCTCAGAATATTTCTTTCTACGTTAGAAATCGTAGGTTAGAATTTCGATTGGAGCAAATATTTTTAATTGGCTTTAAGGTACAAATTGCAATTTGGCATATTACTGAGTTGTATATTTTTCTTAGTCTCCACGTATCGTGTTATAGAGTATATTTGCTTTAAAAAAGAAAAAGAACAAATCAATTCTTATTTTCTATTGTTTTTTTTGTGCATGTTGTGTTGTGTTATATTCAACATGTTATTTATTTTTTATGTTCAAGGTAAGTTTTTTATGTTTTTTTATGTTCCTTTTATAGCTAACATGTTATTATTTTATTATTGCACTAAAAACAATCAGAATACGCAAGTATAAATGGAGGTAAAATAACGGGATTTATACAGATAAATAAAATTGAAGTGTCTGTTTGTAATGTCCAAATAAAAGCTTTGGACTTATAAGAAAAACACAATGTTCTGTCTATTTGTTCCGGCTAATCTCCGGAACGGCTGGCCTGATTTTGACATGACTTTTACTGGCGATAGCTGATATTATAAGGAGTAACTTAGGTAATTTCTATTATGGAAAAATATTTAAGGTTCCGCCCAAAAAAAATTTAAACGCACCTAGGGATACACCCAAGTAAAGAGAGGGTAAGTCACTAGTATTTAATAAAACCTAGCTTAATTCAATATAATAAAATTAACTAAAAAATACCGTGTAAGCGTAATAATATCTTTATTTTACATTGTTTCTTGAACATATCTTATAATGTAGCAAGTGCACGTGTCGCGCGAAGCGGCTCGCGGCTTAGCCTGCTTAGAACTTCCATAATACTGTATTTGCAAGATTTTACTTCAAACTTGCGTTTATTTTATAACTAACGTAGTACTCTGGCTTTACACTTTTAGAAGAGATGCGTTTTGTTTTCAACTTATATTTTACTAGCATTGCCCGCCGCTCCGCCCGCGATCAGATGACCAAAACCAAATTCTTAGGCTTTACATATTAGTATACTCTTACTTTGCAGTTTTTGTATTTTTTCCCAGAAATGAGATATTTTTCGGCGGTAAAAGGTATTGTATATGTGGACCCGGATAACCAGCTATCATCATACCAAATTTCATCAAAATCACTTCAGTGGTTTTTCCGTGATGCGGTAACAGACAGACAAACAAAAATTCTAAAAACTATAGATTCGACCTCTGTATCGAAAATAATGTCTATTTTAATAAGATTTTCCAATAAATATTCAATGTACAGATTCGGCTTAGTTAGAATTTTATTATATGTATAGATTTAACGTTTAGTATAATTTTTTTAGAGATAAGATATTTTCCCGTATTAAAAAGTATCCCTATATGTTGACCCGGATAATTTGCTATCATGATTCCAAAATTCATCAAATTCTTCCAATGATTTTTCCGTGATGTGGTCACAGACAGACAGACAGACAATAATACTAAAAACTATAGACTTGGCTTCTGTATCGATAATAAGATTTTCTGAAAAATATTTAATGTACAGACATTCGACTCAATTAGAATTTTATTATAATGTATAGATTGATGTGACTCAGTATTGATGAAAAACATGCGTCACAACGTGACATTACCAACGTTATTGTGTTGCATTTATATTATATGCAGGAACAGAAAGAAATAGTTAAAGATAAATATTATAAGTTATTATTGATAGATGGGTAAATACAGAATTGGTTTTCCTCAAATATTTATTAACAAATACCATCGAATTTCGACCTCTGACAAACACTAGAGCAATTAATTTAACCATAATATACTACCTCTAGATTGAAATTTTCTAACTTAAGGATGTATTCGTATATAGCAGTTTCTGTAAACTTTACAACAACTCGCATTAATCTTTATATCGCGCTTTTTATCATTGATAAGTTAAAGCTTGGAGTGTACTGCCGCATATAAATTAAATTTTAATTTAATTTTCATATGTATCAGATCTACCTACTTTCATATTTATCAAAAGGAGTTTGTATATAGTATATACATATATCCATACTTCATAATTTATCGTTCAAGTTATAATAAAGGAATACGTATCTTTTTGTCTGTCTGCTCGACTTTTACGTAGTTTTAGTATGATTCATAATAATTGATTATTAATTATACTTTGAAATAAAAAAGAGCGTTAAATTTTCTTTAAAAAAACTGTCCGTTCTTCCGTCCGTTCGAGGGAAGAGATTAAATAATTTAATTATACAAAACTTAAATAAAAGGATGCGAGTAAGTTGACAAAAGAATACGTATTATGTATGTAGTGGGAGACATATATTCATGTGGCAAGACTCACAGCAAGTATAAAATACGATGTTCATATGTATAAGTCATTAAAATTAGTTGTCATAAATACATACATAGACATGTGAAATACATAACCCTTTTTTGGGCTTCGCCGCAGTCGGTCTATAAAAAAGTTATCATTATTTCAAATACAACCTTTTTCATCAAATAAAATTATTCAAGAAACTACATAATATAATAATAATACACGGAAAATATTCAGAAAATATAACTTATACGGTTTTCTAGTATATTTTCAACCAAATTCAAAAAGGAGGAGGTTCTCAATTCAACTGTATGTTTTTTTTTGAAGTATAAAATTTACTTTTTTTACCGACGCTACACAATTTCATGTATCGTTTTGAATTCCCCAAGAATTTCGTTTCTGGCACTACATTAGCAAAAGATTAAAAGTTTTATCGCTCTACCGACTTTCTATTTAACGACTTAAGTATGCCGCATCGGTATGCGTGATTCCACAATATGACTTAGACATCGTAAAGTTGAGTTACAAGGCCAATTCACTTAACATTTTGCTGATTATTTTCTACATTTTATTTTGTCTTTGTACAGTTGTAAAAACTTTAATTTATAGCATCGATACTAGTTGTTGAGTAAAAAGTTGAGAGTATAGTATTACTCATTTACATAATATGGACGTAATACTGTAGTGTGTAAAGTACACAAAAAATATATAATAAACTAGCAAAACCCGTGGCTACGCCCGCGTTCATTCTACAAAATAAAATTGACTTCATGAATCTAATTCATTCAATTTAGTGAAGCGGGTTCGAACCCTGGGTCTTACACCTCTGACATCTTGGTGTCTTTATAAG